CAGTCGCTCTATATTTGTCTTAAACTCGAAGGCTAGTACTTTCATGATGGATTCTGGTCTGGCAAGGCTATACCCTGTGGACAAATCCACAAAAATTTGTCAGATTAGAACTCAACAGAACTACCGACTGAATATTGCTGGTCATTTACCTGCTACAATTCTGTATCTAGTCTTAAGCAGTAATTCCTCTTGATTTGACCAGTTCGCTCTAGTGATGAATGAAATTTGGATATATGTATTTAACACCAAAAGAGAAACGAGAAGGCTTGCATTTTATACTTTATGCAAGTTAAGGATTTTCATAGTTCAGTTTGTTTTAGTGTGTACGAGTAAACTTGCATCCCCGTGTGGTCGTTTGGTTGCCGGGTTCTGGGAGAGAACATATAGAACGCTGACATCAGTGCCAAGGGGAAGACGGAGTTTCGGGTAGAACAGGTTTGTGAAGAAGTTGAATAGAAGCATGTAAGCTACTGTTGACAGCTCAGTCACGTGGTGTCTTTGACCGTCGAAGTCTCCAACCAGAGAAACTGAGGCGTCCTATCTGTCCAACTCCGTTACTTCATGTTGTCATGCTATCATGTCAGGTTTAGTTCGATCGCATTTGACCTTCACACCCACCCACGCACGCACCCACCCACCTACACAAACACACAACCTGCTTCGACAAACAGCGCACGCTGAGGCAATCTATTTGGTGACATGCGCAACACATTCTCCAACCAAAGTAATCTATGGAGCTCGAGCACTTGCTCCACCGAGCTATCTCGACTGTAGAAAACTCTGCTCTCCGGATGCTCCACTAAACTCGTGCAATGCGGTGTATACGATGGTGTTTAAACACGTACTGTCTAGTTCTATCTTGTCTCCTCAAATCTATGTACTGCATAGGCCAAGCTGCTGCTGCAGTATACACTCGACGTCTCGCGAGAAACCCAATATCGTGGTGGCTATGGAGGTGTCGTAAGTTGGCAAACACCGACCTAGTCTTCTGTTTGAGTACGGGCGCTTCATATGTGATGCGTCTGCCAAGTGTTTTATAGCTACCTAAGTAGCGAAATTGGGCTGCTTTATTACATCTACAGTTAGGGTAAGTTGCGGAGCTGGACCAACCCAGTCCTGTTACAATACTTTTCACTTAAAAAAAAGAAAAAGAATTGCATACAGAACATGGGCACGCTGTTCCTCAAACCAATATATAGAGGCATGCAACTTATCTGGCGTTTTACTTTGCAGTACAATGCGGTCTGCATCCTTTAGACTAGAAAATGCCCTACACGAGAGCAAATCTATTCCGCTATTCTCGCACAAGAACAAGATCTGTCGGCTTTCTTGCAAATCGGTAGGATGGACGACTCACACCATTCAGTTAGAATCTGCTTACTCTCTTAGACTAAACTCAGGAGTTAGGTCAAATCCCAGACGAAAGGTCAACCTGCATCTTGGAAGGCTGATGGGAACAACCCATTCAGGCTGGACCCCTTATGCCCTCCCAGATAACTGATTTCACGCTTACTTCAGAAGGAGGATTGATATCAACCGACAGCATTTGTCCAGTTTGATCGGAAGCTAACATGTCTGGCGTCGGTGGATGCCAGTTGAGATGCATCCTAAAGTATTCTGTCCGTCGTTCTAGACGGCGTTGCTGAATATGAATAAGTTTGTCGTCGCACTCCTCACTGATCTCACTCCTAATTTTTTCCGGCCGGTACTTCTGATTAGATGAAAAAACGGCGACTGTTACCGATGGCTGCTGCTCTCTCCATCTCTCTGCATTTTACATCCCAACACTTCCTCGGTTCTGTTAATGCGCTGGAGTCTAATGAATTTACTCCTAGGGTCAAATTTATCTTCCAAATGACTGGCTCTGCGAGAGTCCAACAATGCAGCGGAGTTCGAGGAGACCCATAGTTTTGCTTTGATTATGCACCAGAATCCACTGAGTTATTGATTGCCATTTGAATGGTTTCCTCGATTAACCGCTAGTGTTCATTTAGTCCTTTGACGGGAGGTTGGAATGATAGGTGCCGAGAGAGCTCCTCATATCCAATTACGTGTTACCTAACATATATTCTTGATTTGAGTTTGCTCCATTTTGTGGTTTCTCCGGAGTCTGTTCACCAAACATTGGTTTCTTCTCCAGACCCACGAATTATCGAACGAGGTGAATTCGACCCATAGAGTGAGGCTCACTAGTTCGTTCTAGTCTTTCCAGGCTGCATCCATCTAAGGCCTAAGACAATGAAGATAGGACCAAGTATCACACGCAGTGACATGTTTTCATGTTTTCCCCTACCTCCAACTCTGTGTGTTAATGTCACTTTAGTGGTAATTTTGATTCTTCACTACGCTGGCCTAGTCATCAGCCAGCAGAGTCAAAGCACTATTACAGTTATGTAAAACTAATTAATTTTCTCCATGCTAATAAGTAAACCATACTAACGAGCGAGAGCAGCATTCAGTTGGGGAACAAAGACTGCGGTGATGCGTGACGTATTCGATTAATATATATTTCGAACGGATACAATGTGTATTTTTGCATTTTCACAAAAAACTCAGTTTCAGACGAATTCAGTTGAAGCTAAAAGACCTCGCTAGTAGGTCTTTCATACGAATGACATATAGAATATATATTTCACACCAATCTTTACGGATTCGGCACCGAATAACCATGGGTGAGCGAAAAAATACAGGTACAGAAGAGGGGACAGTAAAACAGCCAGCTTCGGGGAGTAATGATGTTTTTTGTTTGCTTACTGCACGCCATTTTGAATCTTTTTCGTTTTTGTTTATTTTTGGGATTGCAGACAAGAGGGGATGCATTCGCGCAACTGAATTCAGTTCGATGCCATATCCCGCAGTGTCTCCAGCCAAAGAATTTTCGGGGCCCCAGTCAGGGAGCCGACAAACCCCAACGGAAGCCAAATCCGAGCACAATCCTTTTAACCCTCTGCGCCTCGTCATAGCCCACCCACCTCGCTGTTTGTTCCATCCTGGACCGATGTCTGCGAATGGTGCACGGTGTGGTAGACGGTGCTCAGGCATTCGTAGGATGTGCCCCAGCCACCTAAGACTATGCTGTGAAATTATTTTGCTCAAAGGAAGACTATCTGGTCCTAGCACCCGTCGTCTGACTTCATCGTTATTCACGCGATGCTCCCACCATACGCGAACGATGTTGCGCAGAGAACGGTTGTCGAAGACTGATAGTCGCTNCTGAACGTGATCTGCTCGAAGAGGCCAGGTCTCGCAGCCATAGAGCAACATGGTGCGTACCGTTGCACAATACACACGCCCTTTTAGTGAAAGGGATATGTCGCGCCGGCGCCAGAGATGCCGCAGATTAGTAAACGCTAATCTAGCT